CCACTAGATGAGGAATTAATACGTGTTTTACAAAATTCGGCCAAAATACGGTCAAATAGTTTGACCGTGACCATCCATTTTTTCACGGCCAAATTTCTCTAATTTGGCGGTGGAAACGGCTATCTGGCAACCCTGCTTAGAACTGCTTATAAGTCATCATTTTCATCAATTTAAAAAAAATATTTGTATAAGAAGGTAAAATCTTTAATACAGCACTCATTTTATACACCTGGTCACCTCCACATTTTAGGGGCTGTAGTGTTTACATTCTTTCTTTTGTTTTTGTCGGTATGACAACAACGGGAAACATTTTCCAACTGTAGAAGGTAAGCAAATGTAAACATGTATACCAACGTCTATATAAAACAAAAAATCTTTATTTAAAATAAAAATAAAAGTAAAAAATAACTCGTTTTTTGCAAAACCAGTGACTGATTGGTTCTACATATTTATAAAACTGAAGAAAATGAGTCCTCCATTGTAGCTGTATTAAAATTAATGTAGAAAAATTAATATGGTTGTTTTAAGTAATGTTATTTAATGTTAATAAATGGACCAATGGAAGAAGCTAACAATTAAGGGTAAAAAAAAAGTGAGATCAAGTATGTAAGTGAGCACATGTGTAAACATATCATCATTACTCTACATAAGAATATGAAAGCAACACATATTTACTGTTCATATATGTTTAAATTAATGTTTCTGAATTTCTTTTTGATTGAATTATTGTTTGTGTGTGTAAATTGAACAATACAATTCATTAATAATACGAAGAATATTAAAACACGAGGAGACAAGACGTCATTGTTTTTGTTGTTTACAAAACCAGTGACTCATTGGTTCTACATATAAAACTGAAGAAAATAAGACCCTGGTTGTAGCTGTAGTAAAATTAGTATGGTTGTTTTAAGTAATGTTATTTAATGTTAATAAATGGAACAATGGAAGTAGCTAACAATTAAGGGTAAAAAAAATGTGAGATCACTTATGTAAGTGAGCACATGTGTAAACATATCATCATTACTCTAATAAGTCACCTGGTCCCGATGAGATATTTGCCAGAGTATTAAAGGAATGTAAGGAAGAGCTTAGTATGCCCTTAGCAAAGTTGTTTAACATGTCCTTAAAAACAGGTGTAGTACCAGAATCCTGGAGGATAGCGAATGTAATACCGATTTTCAAGAAGGGGGATAGATCACTATCCTCTAACTACCGCCCAATCAGTCTAACATCAATAGTAGGCAAATTACTGGAAGCAATCATTTCAAACTCTATTCGAAATCACCTGGAGAAGCACCGATTGATCAATGATTCCCAGCATGGCTTCCAAGCGGACGTTCTTGCCTAACTAATCTATTAACATTCTTTTCATCAGTTTTCGAATCAGTGGACGAGGGCACAATTATGATGTGGTATATCTCGACTTTAGCAAAACCTTCGACAGAGTCCCCCACGAAAGACTAATTAGAAAGGTAGAAGCTCATGGCATCAAAGGTGACATCCTTAAATGGATTAGGGCGTGGTTACAGGACAGGAAACAGCGAGTGAGCATTAACGGCACTAAGTCCCATTGGAGCAACGTCACAAGTGGAGTTCCCCAAGGCTCAGTACTTGGACCATTATTGTTTATTATATACATAAGCGACATAGATATCAGCATAGACAGCAACATAAGTAAATTTGCTGATGACACTAAAATAGGACGTGTTATTAAATCTGACGAGGACTCGGCAAAACTACAGGAAGATCTAAACAAATTTTTCGAATGGTCTGAAAAATGGCAGATGAAATTCAACGTGGACAAATGTAAAGTACTCAGTATAGGAGATGTAAACAGGGAAACCAGATACCAGATGAACAACGATGCCATAGAGAAATCCGACTGCGAGAGAGATTTAGGAGTAATGATAAGTAGGAACCTTAAGCCAAGTAAACAATGTGTTTTTGCTCGTAACAAGGCTAATAAAGTACTTGGGTTCATACAAAGGAGTGTTAGTTACAAGACTAGCGAGGTCATCCTAAAACTGTATCTTGCTCTTGTGAGACCACACCTGGATTACGCAGTTCAGTTCTGGTCACCGTATTACAGAATGGATATAGAATCCTTGGAAAGAACTCAGAGGAGAATGACAAGACTAATCCCGGGCATTAGGAACCTTGAGTATAGAGACAGGTTAAAGCATCTCAATTTGCACTCCCTCGAGAGACGTAGAGCAAGGGGCGACCTGATATAGGTGTATAAGTGGAAGGCAGGGCTAAACAAAGGGGACATTACAAAGGTACTCAAATTATCCAACCAGGAGCGAACTCGTAACAATGGTTTTAAATTAGACAAATTTAGATTTAGGCGTGAAATAGGTAAACACTGGTTTGGAAACAGAGCAGTGGATGAATGGAACAAGTTACCAAATATCATCATTAACTCGAATACGCTGAATTGCTTCAAACATAGGTTGGATGCTCATATGAGCAATAGGGGTTGGGTGTAAACGGGACTGCCCAGTATGGGCCAATAGGCCCGCTGCAGTTTCCTCCATTCTTATGTTCTTATAAGAATATGAAAGCAACACTTATTTACTGTTCATATATATTTTAATTAATGTTTCTGAATTAAAAAAAAATTCTACCCACCAGTGGTAGTAAAGTTTGGACAGCCAATGTTGTTGTGTGTGCGTTTTGACTTGGATGACGAAGTTGTATTTAAATTTGGAAGATTTTAATTTTTTGGGGGTTTTTGCAGTCTAAATGGGTATCCAAATATGAGAGCCTACTGTAAATAGGTGTCCAAATATGAGAGCCTTTATATAAAGAAACAAACATTGCTGCATTTGAGACCAGCAGAAAACCTTTGGCAATTCCTCAATAGATGGCGCTGCCGCACCACTGCCATTAGTAAACAAACCACACAGCAGCAAGGGTTTATTTTTATTTTTTTTTTGCAATATATCAACAATATTAGTTAAATCAATAGTTTTATAGAACTGTATAGAGAATACTTGTAATTGTTAAGTACTGTAATGAGGTAACAGTCTTTGTAAGGGGCTGATTTCAAAAACCTCTGCTACAACTCATCACTAGTGTCGTGGAAGACGCATGGTAATTTTCGAGGTATATTTTTGTCATAAAAAGTGCATCTTGTAAGCCGAAAAATACGGTATATCACAAAAACTTTTTTTTTTATAAAAAAAATTGGGTTTTTTGTAGTACAGGTTGACTATCAAAAATCCGGCAACTGATAAACCGGAACCTTCAGTTTTCCGGCATGGATTTCGGAGCGCATTTTCAAATATTTCTTTGTTTATTTAATGAAGATATATGTTTTAGCTCATAAAATTCATACAAATTACCCGGCCAGAATATAATTTACATTGCTGGAATTCTTACAATTTGATGATCATTTTGAATATAAACATCATAGATTTTGCATTAGACATACAAATTTTAGATCAAATGTTTACTCTGAGTAAATATGTTATCTTTTGTGCAAAATATATGACATTTATATTCAAAATATTCCTGGTCTTACAAGGAATCCAGCAATGTCAATTATATTATCCTAACTTAAGTGTTTACTTTTCTTTGTTTAAAGGACTGTACAGGTAGTCATTTTCTGTTAAACTTATACAGCAAATATAACCATCAGTTTTCCGGCATTTTCGAAAATCCGGAACTCCTCAGGTCCCGAGGTTGCCGGATTTTTGATAGTCAACCTGTATTATGTTAAAACAAACACTCATAAATCAACACAGCTAAAATTATGGGATGTGAAATGGTCTGTTTACTGGCTGGGAAGATTGGGGGGGTGATATGTTTGACAGTTGATGCCAAGGTCTAGTGCTTATTTATTTATCTGTCCCTAAGAGTGACTTTAAGTATTTTTTTTTTTTATAAAATGTCACTGAACTGAAATGAGAGAATATAATTAACATTGCTGGAATTCTTATAAGATAGTGATTAATTTGAATAGAAACATGCTATAGTTTGCATGAGACATACACATTTTATTTCTAATTTAAGAATTTTATTACAGAGCAAAATTTGTTACCCGGTATCTCTTATGCAAAATATATGGTGTTTATATTCAAATTATTCGCGGTCTTGTAAGGATTCCAGCAATACAAATTATATTCTCCTGACTTTAGTCTGTGATATTATATAAGATAAAAACTGTAAGCCTGAAGTACCAAACCCTGGCTGGGAAAATAGGGGGTTAAGTGACAGTGACATGTTTGACAGTTGGCGTCGAAGGTCTAGTGAAGTATTTATTTGTTTATTTATGTCCTTTAGCTTGAGTTTATGTTTTTTGCTTATAAAATGTCACAAAAGTCACTGGGGAGAATATAGTTTACATTGCTGGAATTCTTATAAGATAGTGATTAATTTGAATATAAACATGCTATAGTTTGCACTAGACAAAAATTTTAGTACCTGTAATCATTTAGTACATTAATTTGGACAGTGTAGCATGCCCAGAGAAACATTAGGCGCAAAATTTTAAATATGATGCACCTGATTGACTCACGCAAAATAGGAAAGATTCGCTTTAAATTAAAACATTGTCCTTAATTGTGGGTGTCGCTTTAAATCAATAATCTTAAGTTGAATTGCTTTAAATTGACGTTCTACTGTATATATATAACGTAATATTTTGAAATGTCTCATATTTCAAAATTTTACTAAATGTACGAAATTTGTAATATATATTTTGTAACAACAAAACATTACGGATCATGGGGATTTTACTGTAGTGTCAGTGTAATTGTAGTGTATAATGGGAAATAGCAATACCCTTTACAATGGGACAGCCACATACGTTTCCGGTATGGAAACTGCATTGATACAGGTTGACTCATGTGCTGTACTAAAGAAAAACAAATACCTCTATTCCTTAATTGCTTTGTTGTGAAATCTGTAATGACTTGGGTTTACTGTATTGGCTGATGAAGATTCATGTTAAATTTTTGTTGTATGTACAGTATTATTGTGTTATTCTCTTGTAGGTCTGCATCAAACAGCAGGCTTGTGGATACGAAGAAATATGGTTGCTGAAGATGACGCTGATGTTGTACGAGTAATGAGGGAGGCTGGTGCCATTCCTCTGTGTGTCACCAATGTGTCTGAGCTGTGTATGTGGTGGGAAAGTGCTAACACGGTATATGGGCGGACAAACAATCCATATTGCACTTGTAGAATTGTTGGAGGATCATCAGGAGGTGAAGTGAGTATCTTTCTTATTTGTTCCTTGCTGGGCAATTATGCAATGAGGTTTTCTTTTGTTTATGTCTCTCCATTAGAATTTCTGTGGCTACAACTTGTGGTTTAATGGAAACTTATATTTTCATTAAATTTGAAAGAAATCTTAAGGATGCTAAAAAGATTATACACACAGGCAGTTCCCAAGTTGCCAACGAGTTATGTTCCTGGACCCTGTTCTGTAAGGAGGAACAGTGTTAATTCCAATGGTTAGGTAAAGCACAATCTTGCCCATACAAAACAGCATTAATATCCCATATCTAACAAATAATGTAATTACTGTAAATACCATATTGTTAAAAAATATAAAGTACCCTGTAATGTAGAAATTGGACTTTAGTAACAGAATTTTGCGATGAATATATTGGGATCTTATCCATAAGTACAGGTGTTTGTAATTCTGACGTTCATAACTCGGGGAGTGGCAGTATTGCACTCTGGAGTGTGTGTGGTGTGTGGTATTGTGTCTAATGTCTACTGGTGTGTTAAGTGTGTTTCATGTGTTGTGTAGTGTGTCTAATGTCTACTGGTGTGTTAAGTGTGTTTCATGTGTTGTGTACTGTGTCTAATGTCTACTGATGTGTTTCATGTGTTGTGTAGTGTGTGTAATGCAGTGGTTCTCAACCTTTTTCACTCCATTCCACCCTTGAGGAATTTTCAACATCCTCGTGGCCTCCTTCATTTTTCTCCCAGAACAGACAAACAGACAAGTGATAAAGACTAAAGAATGATAAAGAAGGACAGATAAATAGGACAAGAGTTAGAATGGCAAACACACACACACATTCACATACATAACACGCCCATGCACTCACACATAAAGCTCACATACAGTCATACACAAACATGCACACAGGTAAACATTCACACTCAAGCTAGCAAGCTGAAGTGTACTTCCTGTAAGCAAGAACATGCCTCCTTTGACAAGCACTGCCCAACTTGGAAGAATGAGAAGAATAGTGAGTCATACCAATTTAGCACTAAAACTGGTAGGATTATATAAGTAAAGAATGAGTATGAACAACAATGGCACCAATAAATAAGGAAATAATTAATAAAGGAAGTGTACAAATATTTCACCCACGTAAAGCAGCGACCACATGAATTATGAAACAAAATAAGTAACACCAATTGTGGAGTATATTATGCTTGAGTCAAGCTCAAACACAATATATGGTTCAGAGACAATACACTCCACTGTTTTCATGATGGTATCCCAGGCCAGACTGAGATCATTCGGTCCTATCACCACTTGCAAAGGGATGACACACGGACACGTACTGAGCAAGTCAGTTCAGCAGCTCGGTCCAGCGCCTGTCACACAGACAGGGACTGGACCTGTGAAATCTTAAATAATTCGTAAAAAAAAAAAAAAAAATAGCACCAGAGTATGTAAATATTAAAATTGTATTGTCGTTATGATTAAACAAAATGAGAAAAAATGAATGAAAATTCTCTTCTGCCAAGTCAAAATAAGTAATACAAGTTTTGTTTAATTCAGATTCCCAACATTATTTGGAAACATACAATTTATAACAGCTCACCGTGGCTCCCCTAAATTCTTGCCATGGCTCCCTTGGGAGTCATGGCCCCCAAGTTGAGAACCACTAGTCTAATGTGTACTGGTGTGTTAAGTGTGTTTCATGTGTTGTGTAGTGTGTCTAATGTCTACTGATGTGTTAAGTGTGTTTCATGTGTTGTGTAGTGTGTCTAATGTCTACTGGTGTGTTAAGTGTGTTTCATGTGTTGTGTAGTGTGTCTAATGTCTACTGGTGTGTTAAGTGTGTTTCATGTGTTGTGTAGTGTGTCTAATGTCTACTGATGTGTTAAGTGTGTTTCATGTGTTGTGTAGTGTGTCTAATGTCTACTGGTGTGTTAAGTGTGTTTCATGTGTTGTGTAGTGTGTCTAATGTCTACTGGTGTGTTAAGTGTGTTTCATGTGTTGTGTAGTGTGTCTAATGTCTACTGATGTGTTAAGTGTGTTTCATGTGTTGTGTAGTGTGTCTAATGTCTACTGGTGTGTTAAGTGTGTTTCATGTGTTGTGTAGTGTGTCTAATGTCTACTGGTGTGTTAAGTGTGTTTCATGTGTTGTGTAGTGTGTCTAATGTCTACTGGTGTGTTAAGTGTGTTTCATGTGTTGTGTAGTGTGTCTAATGTCTACTGGTGTGTTAAGTGTGTTTCATGTGTTGTGTAGTGTGTCTAATGTCTACTGATGTGTTAAGTGTGTTTCATGTGTTGTGTAATGTCTACTGGTGTGTTAGTGTGTTTCATGTGTTGTGTAGTGTGTCTAATGTCTACTGGTGTGTTAAGTGTGTTTCATGTGTTGTGTAGTGTGTCTAATGTCTACTGATGTGTTAAGTGTGTTTCATGTGTTGTGTAGTGTGTCTAATGTCTAATGTCTACTGATGTGTTAAGTGTGTTTCATGTGTTGTGTAGTGTGTCTAATGTCTACTGGTGTGTTAAGTGTGTTTCATGTGTTGTATAGTGTGTCTAATGTCTACTGGTGTGTTAAGTGTGTTTCATGTGTTGTGTAGTGTGTCTAATGTGTACTGGTGTGTTAAGTGTGTTTCATGTGTTGTGTAGTGTGTCTAATGTCTACTGGTGTGTTAAGTGTGTTTCATGTGTTGTGTAGTGTGTCTAATGTCTACTGATGTGTTAAGTGTGTTTCATGTGTTGTGTAGCGTGTCTAATGTCTACTGGTGTGTTAAGTGTGTTTCATGTGTTGTGTAGTGTGTCTAATGTCTACTGATGTGTTAAGTGTGTTTCATGTGTTGTGTAGTGTGTCTAATGTGTACTGGTGTGTTAAGTGTGTTTCATGTGTTGTGTAGTGTGTCTAATGTCTACTGATGTGTTAAGTGTGTTTCATGTGTTGTGTAGTGTGTCTAATGTCTACTGGTGTGTTAAGTGTGTTTCATGTGTTGTGTAGTGTGTCTAATGTGTACTGGTGTGTTAAGTGTGTTTCATGTGTTGTGTAGTGTGTGTCTAATGTCTACTGATGTGTTAAGTGTGTTTCATGTGTTGTGTAGCGTGTCTAATGTCTACTGGTGTGTTAAGTGTGTTTCATGTGTTGTGTAGTGTGTCTAATGTCTACTGGTGTGTTAAGTGTGTTTCATGTATTGTGTAGTGTGTCTAATGTCTACTGATGTGTTAAGTGTTTCATGTGTTGTGTGGCGTGTCAATGTCTGTGTGTTAAGTGTGTTTCATGTGTTGTGTAGTGTGTCTAATGTCTACTGGTGTGTTAAGTGTGTTTCATGTGTTGTGTAGTGTGTTAAGTCTAATGTCTACTGTTGTGTTAAGTGTGTTTCATGTGTTGTGTAGTGTGTCTAATGTCTACTGGTGTGTTAAGTGTGTTTCATGTGTTGTGTAGTGTGTCTAATGTCTACTGGTGTGTTAAGTGTGTTTCATGTGTTGTGTAGTGTGTCTAATGTCTACTGGTGTGTTAAGTGTGTTTCATGTGTTGTGTAGTGTGTCTAATGTCTACTGATGTGTTAAGTGTGTTTCATGTATTGTGTAGTGTGTCTAATGTCTACTGATGTGTTAAGTGTGTTTCATGTGTTGTGTAGCGTGTCTAATGTCTACTGGTGTGTTAAGTGTGTTTCATGTGTTGTGTAGCGTGTCTAATGTCTACTGATGTGTTAAGTCTGATGTGTTAAGTGTGTTTCATGTGTTGTGTAGTGTGTCTAATGTCTACTGATGTGTTAAGTGTGTTTCATGTGTTGTGTAGTGTGTCTAATGTCTACTGATGTGTTAAGTGTGTTTCATGTGTTGTGTAGTGTGTCTAATGTCTACTGATGTGTTAAGTGTGTTTCATGTGTTGTGTAGTGTGTCTAATGTCTACTGATGTGTTAAGTGTGTTTCATGTGTTGTGCAGCGTGTCTAATGTCTACTGGTGTGTTAAGTGTGTTTCATGTGTTGTGTAGCTTGTCTAATGTCTACTGGTGTGTTAAGTGTGTTTCATGTGTTGTGTAGCGTGTCTAATGTCTACTGGTGTGTTAAGTGTGTTTCATGTGTTGTGTAGTGTGTCTAATGTCTACTGGTGTGTTAAGTCATGTTTCATGTGTGTTTGTGTAGTGTGTCTAATGTCTACTGGTGTGTTAAAGGGTATTTTCATGTGTTTGTGTAGTGTGTCTAATGTCTACTGATGTGTGTTAAGTGTGTGTTAAGTGTGTTTCATGTGTTGTGTAGCTTGTCTAATGTCTACTGGTGTGTTAAGTGTGTTTCATGTGTTGTGTAGCGTGTCTAATGTCTACTGGTGTGTTAAGTGTGTTTCATGTGTTGTGTAGTGTGTCTAATGTCTACTGATGTGTTAAGTGTGTTTCATGTGTTGTGTAGTGTGTCTAATGTCTACTGATGTGTTAAGTGTGTTTCATGTGTTGTGTAGTGTGTCTAATGTCTACTGATGTGTTAAGTGTGTTTCATGTGTTGTGTAGTGTGTCTAATGTCTACTGATGTGTTAAGTGTGTTTCATGTGTTGTGCAGCGTGTCTAATGTCTACTGGTGTGTTAAGTGTGTTTCATGTGTTGTGTAGCTTGTCTAATGTCTACTGGTGTGTTAAGTGTGTTTCATGTGTTGTGTAGCGTGTCTAATGTCTACTGGTGTGTTAAGTGTGTTTCATGTGTTGTGTAGTGTGTCTAATGTCTACTGATGTGTTAAGTGTGTTTCATGTGTTGTGTAGTGTGTCAAATGTCTACTGGTGTGTTAAGTGTGTTTCATGTGTTGTGTAGTGTGTCTAATGTCTACTGATGTGTTAAGTGTGTTTCATGTGTTGTGTAGTGTGTCTAATGTCTACTGGTGTGTTAAGTGTGTTTCATGTGTTGTGTAGTGTGTCTAATGTCTACTGATGTGTTAAGTGTGTTTCATGTGTTGTGTAGCGTGTCTAATGTCTACTGGTGTATTAAGTGTGTTTCATGTGTTGTGTAGTGTGTCTAATGTCTACTGGTGTATTAAGTGTGTTTCATGTGTTGTGTAGTGTGTAGTTTAGTTGTGTGTTAAGTATAATTTCTGTATATCAAGAGTGTTTAGTGGTGTGCAGAGTTGTAAAAAGTATCTGACTTTGTTATTTAAGTACAGTACAGGTTGTACCTCTCTAGTCCGGCAACCTCGGGACTTGACCGGTGCCAGACCATGGAAATTCACCCTTTTCCTGGATAGATAGTGACTTGTGCTTATGCCTGGAAGCACTAGCACCACTTTCTCTGCATCATGGTCTCTTTGAAGACATATTGAAGGGTTAATTTGTATAGTACCTTCTCAAATTTCGCGAGTTTTTAATTCTTAACGTATTTTATTGGAACACACAAAAAAAAATAAATAAAAAAAAATTTTGACGGCGGAAACTTGAATTTCGACGGGTTTGAACGGCCCGCCAACGTGCAGACGACGTGCATAATCGTGTAAACAGCGTCATTTCTCTTATGTACAAAAGATTCATTATTGTTTATTACTGAATGTCTTTTTTATTGAATTAATGTTTATGTGTGCAAAATGAGCAATACATTTCATTAATAATACGTAGAATATTAAAACACACGAGGAAATGACACAGTATTGTATTCGTTGATTACTAAACCAGTGACTGGTTCTACATATAAAACTGAAGAAAATAAGACCTTGGTTGTAGCTGTAGTAAAATTAATATGGTTGTTTTAAGTAATGTTATTTAATGTTAATAAATGGAACAATAGAAGTAGCTAACGATAATGGTAAAGAAAAAAGAGAGATCGCATATGTAAGTGCGCATGCGCACACGTGAAAACATATCATCATTACTTTACATAAGAATATGAAAGCAACACTTATTTACTGTTCATATATATTTTAATTAATGTTTCTGAATTTGTTTTTATTGAATTAATGTACGTGTGTGCAAAATTAACAATACAATTTATTAATAATACGTGGAATATTAGAGGAGACGAGACGGCTGCCGGCATTGTTTATGTTAAAGCTTACGAAACCAGTGACTGATTGGTTCTACATATAAAACTGAAGAAAATAAGACCCTGAGTTTAGCTGTAGTAAAATTAATGTAAAAAAATGAATATGGTTGCTTGAAGTACCTGTAATGTTATTTAATGTTAATAAATGGAACAATATAAGTAGCTAACCATTAATGGTAAAAAAAAAAGTGAGACTGCTCGTATGTAAGTGCGCACATGTGAAAATATATCGTCATTACTCTACATAAGAATATGAAAGCAACACTTATTTACTGCTCATATATATTGAAGGGTTAAATGTTGTACTCTGTATAGACAAGCAGAGAGAGAGAGCAGCCGAACTGCCGGATGTAAACAAACCTTAATTTCCCGCGGCTTTTTTTTTTAAGGGGATTAGCCCACCCGGGAATAGGTCACTGACCCACATTAGGGCCTGAGGGGCAAAAATTTAATACTCTTGTAATAATAATAATAATTCAGATAAGAAAAAATAAATAAAAAAAAGCTGCCTATCTACCTATTGGACAAACTAAAATCGTTCCGGACCACGGGAGTTTCCGGACCACAGAATGCCGGACTAGAGAGGTACAACCTATATATATATATATATATATATATATATATATATATATATATATATATATATATATATATATATATATATATATATATATATATATATATATATATATATATATATATATATATATATATATATATATACAACAAAATATATGTACAAAAAATAAATGTTAAATGAATTATTTATGGTGCATTAGGGTACTGGTCACTTCAGACACAAAGACGGGCTATAAATAGCCTTCTTTATCTCCCCTCCATCTCACCCTGAGCCAGAGGGAAGGGTGGTGGTAAATAACATTTGTTTGCTTATTTTCCATTTACTTGAAATAGATTTACCGAATTATTTGTTTATTTATTTAAAAGTCATTTACTGAATATTCTATGTAAAAAATAAATTTTAAATTAATTATTTATAGGAGATAAGTATTATGATCAGTAAATATATGGTATTACTGGCCACTTCAGACACAAAGACGGGATAAAAATAGCCCATCTCTCCCTCTTCTTACAGCTGCCAATGGGAAGCGTCTTGGTAATTAAATTTGATGTTTATTTTCATTGTTTGTCTAATTTATCATGTATCAAAGTAATATTACTAAAAATTGTGTAGGTAGTAGGCAGCTACCAAACAGGTAGATACTACCGCCTGGGAAGATATTGGAAGCATAATGTGTTGTCTAATGGTAGACCCTGCTGCCATATGGCATCACGAAAATTTTGACCAAGTCCCAGGTTCAGCGCTGACCTGACTTTATGCCTCATTTACACACAATTGCAGTTTGAATTGTTCCTCTAACTTTGACAACATAACATACATACAGTATATTATTTCTCACTTTTGATCTTTTTTTTTACTTTTTGTATTTATTTATGGTTAGTTACTTAAAATAAGGCCAATTCACTTCCAGTAATGGCATCAAATGTTACCAGCTGGTGTAGTGTAAACACTAGTGACGTCACTTAAGCGTCTGTATTTAACTGTCGGTAGTTTCAAGAATTAATGCAGTCATTTACTGAATATTCCTTGTAAAAAAAAGTAAATTTTAAATTAATTATTTATAGGAGATAAGTATTATTATCAGTAAATATACCGATATGCATTACTGACCACTTCCACGGCTAAAAATAGCCCAATCTCGCGGTCACTTTTCCTTTCTTGTCTCCTCACTGGCAAATGGGGGGGGCGTGGGGAGGGGTGTGTGATGATAGCTGTGTTTATTACAGGGGTATAATGTTCTTTTACGGTATGTTAGACAGGTTTATAATACATTTTTATTATTTTAATATACCGGTAATCTTAATTTGAATCCAGCTTGCCAAACGTAAGTTTCAGTATAAAATAATTAGTGGCAGGACCTTGTGAGTGGCTTACGATGTTTCCATCACCACTCTTGACACACTAAACCACAATATTTAAGAGGTAAGAATTTTGTACTTGGTGATTAAGACGACCCCCTAACTTTGGGCAGATTCTTTAATGTTCAAATTCCGTCTTATAAGCCGAGATATACGGTATATGTTCTCTTTACTGGCCTGTATTCTTTACTACCAAAATCAACCACATTGTTAAGAAAGAACAGTGAGAAAATTAAGATACACAACATTTGAGGTTGGGAAATAAAAGAGTTGATGCATTAATAGGGTGGTATGCCCTTAAGGGAACTGATAACATGGGGTCATTTGCAGGCAAAGGAGTAGCAAATCAAAGAAAGCCTTTTTCCAAGCCGATGAAGATAATCTGGAAGCTCTCACCCAGTTTGGGCAGACAAAAGTGTCTGCCTAATTGGGTCCTTCACCAGATGGAGCGGTATGTGTGTTCACTCTACAGGATTGAGGACATCAACACTTCCTTGAACATCAGATGGCAGTTATTCACCCAAAAGGGGAAAGAAGGCCAACAACTGCTGCTGACTTTAGGAACACTTATTCCACACACCCAGACGGCACACTACATGACCTTGGTTTGGAAGTCCTCAAGAAGACCTTGTCCTCAACTTCCTTCACCTGCAGATTACCACTGGAACATTGTGGATGATCAATTGATGCCAGTCTGCTGCCTCTATCCACCTGCTCCTAAAGAACTGCTGGAACTTTATCAGTGTAGCTGCAAAGCAGCATGTAACAGAAAGTCATATGGTTGCCTCAAAAATCAGCTCCATATGTGCGGGTGTGGTGATACATCCATGAACACTGTGCAAGAACGACCTCTTGCTGCAACAGACTAATTTCACATAAACAGTACAGTACTTGTACTGTTTAATGGAATCACAACTTCATAGCTCTTGTCTTATATTAATTATAACATATTTTTCTTTATATATTTAACACTTATGTCATAAGACTCTAAATAATGAGTGATTTTTAAGGATCCGACAAATGACGATATGTAGCATGAACTTTTAAGTAAGCATGCGCTCCTTTGTATATTTTTATTTTTTATTTTTGAATGTCTTAAAGGTTAAACTAGACTGTTAACAGGGGCACTTGCTCTAGGCCCCCTACTCAAAGGGGCCCTCTGGTAGAGAACAAGAAAATAAAGTTCATATTATTATTTTTTTAACACTATGAGATAGCATTGACAGACAAGACCACAAGAGCCCCCCAATCATAAGTGCCTCAGGCACCCCAAGATCTTAATCCTCCCCTGACTGCAAATTATGTATTCATATTATATTACATAATGTTAGCATGTATTACAGGGGTATTTTTCATTTTATGGCATAAGGATCCAATACTGAATTACTTTGTAAAATATTTTTGTATTTTTAGCAATTTTCAGGTTCTTGAATTTAAGCCCAATTTTTTAAGGAAGAGGGCAAATGCAAGGGTGGCAACATGTTTTATTTCATTAATTGACATATTCTTAAAGATTAACCACTGAGAAACAAAAGTTGGCAGGGTTTTTAAAGTACATTACAAATACTTACTGACTACTTGATGGGTATCCATGTTAGCAGGAAAAGTGTGAGGATCCACTTTTAGAAAACAAATTTTAAGAATAAGAGTGCAACTCATGTGATCCAGCAAGAGATTCACCCTTGTCTTCCTTTAGCTCACTAGTTTTTTAAAGCACAGGTGGATGCTTCTTGACCTTGGTTCTGTTGAGGTAGTGCAGGTAGCTTTCTATATAAGAAGTTATACTGACCCAATAAGACATTGTCCTGGCCTTAAAATGCTATTAACAACTTTAGCAAGACTTCCTTGCTAAGGGATATTCTTTTGGGGTAATCTCACAAGTTGCTTGGCTGTTCACTTTGGCCATGGGATTTTGATGTTCAATCCCTAGGTGTTTCTTTTTTTTGAGTTACAATTACATTATAGTATATATACCTGTATATTGTTACTTAATTCTGTTTTATTCTTTATGTAATATTTTTAATAATGATGACTTACTTTATCAGGCATGTCTTCAGTCTGCTTGTGGAGCTCCAATTGGTATTGGGTCTGACATTGGAGGTTCCATACGGATGCCATCCTTTTTCAACGGAATATTTGGTCACAAACCTACATATGGTAAGATTGTTTTTTGTCAAACGTCCTTGAGTTTTAACTATTTTATGACTAATTTTTACTAAAGAAGACAGGGGATTCAGTAACCATTAGCAGATATATGAAAGGGCTGTGCAAGAAAGCATATTTTTTATAACACCTAAAACTTCAGCCCATAAGGAGGAAAGTGCATACAGGTACATACATACACTTAAGAACAAGGATCTGCATCTGCTGTACATAAAAGTTATTGTTTTGAATTTTCCATCTAATTACTGTAAATTGAAGCTGAATTCAAAGATATGTGGGCCAGCATTTTGTAGTTTTTATAAGTGTCCTCATAAACTAACAAATGTTTAGAAATTTTTTGAAGAACTTGCACCAAGCAGATAGGATAGTTTTTTAGTTAACCTTACCTGGTGCAGGTGTCTGGAATCGGTATCTATTGCAGTATGTAAAGGGGTGAGTGATAATTGAGTGTTAAGCTATGGTGACCATTACTATTAGTACTTGGCTGTCACTCAGAATCGAATATGACGATCATCCAGTTATGATACAATGATATGTGTTATTAGGGATGTCACCTTCATTGGTGAGTTTTGAGGTGACTAAAGAGGCCGATACAGGACCGGTAGAGTCCTTCACAGATGTTGCACATGTGGAGGGCTACATCAAGTGCGGGAGGGGCGGCGGCAGCGTCTTTCCAGCATTGGCGCTTCCCTGCCTCAGTTTGCAGTCAGGCTAACTCGAAAGTATTGACACCTTCTCGTGTTGTGATCATCCAAGCGTTACGACATGAAATAGTCGTCTCCCTAGTGATGCGGTCAATTTGGCAGTTTTCAGGTTTGTCTTAAGACTATCCTTATACCTTTTCAGTTGCCCACCAGCGTTATGTTTGCTATTTCTTAGGTGATTGTAAAGTAGCTGCTTTGGCAGTCTACTGATGTCCATGTGGGTAACATGGCCAGTCCAGCGTAGTAGTTCATAGATAATGGTGGCCTCGATGCTCCTACAGTTGGTGTCAGCAAGAATACTGGCATTTGTTCACTTGTCTTCCCAGCAAACTCGGAGGATGGAACGTAGACTACGTTGGTGAAAGTTTTCAAGTGCCTGGAGGTGCATCTTGTCTATGACCTATGTCTCGTTGCCATATAGCAAGGTGGGGAGGACCACTGCTCGATATATGTGTAATTTTGTAGATAATTTTAGCTCCCTACAGCTGAAGACACTGTTTCCAAGTCTGCTTAAAACTTGAGATGCACATCTGCTTCGATGCTGAATCTCTTCATCAGTGTCCACACTGGTGGACAGGTGGGAGGCGAGATATTTAAAGTGGGTAACATTAGAGAGGGTAGTACCGTTAAGTTGGATGGATGGTGGAGGTGTGTCTGAACCTGGGCCAGGTTGAAAGAGAATCCGAGTCTTACGTACATTCACCTCAAGGCCAAAGTGTGCATACACATCTGCAGAGGTGTTCAGGATTTCATGTAGGTCGCGTTCAGTGTGAGCGACAAGGGTGAGGTCGTCTGCATACTGAAGCTCATTACTGGAAGCTGCCGACACCTTTGCTCCTGCCTGGAGTCGTCTTATGTTGAAAAGACCCTTCATCCAATACTTGATGTCCACCCTGCTGGCTAAATTGGCATTGGCAAGAGTAAGGAAGGCAGCCAAGAAAATGGAAAACTGAGTTGGTGCCAGTACACACCCTTGTTAAACCCCATTTGAATGGAGAAGAACTCAGACTGGGTGCCGTTGTGCAGGACACTGCCTTTCATGCCATCGTGGAGTTGCCAAAATGGCTGAGGGTCAACCAGAGGGCTTCCCTGTTGACGGAGTCGAAGGCCTTAGTTAGGTCGATGAAAGCCATGTACAGGTCATGACGCTGTATGCACTTTTCCTGTATCTGGCGGGCAGCAAAGATCATGTCAGTGGTGCCACGTGATGGTCTTAAACCACATTGAGATTCTGGGAGGAAGTTTTCCGCTTCAGGAAAAAGTCTGTTTAGGAGGACTCGGGCGATAATCTTGCCAGCTATGGACAGCAGCGAGTTCCCACGGTAGTTGCCACAGTCTGACCAGTCTCCTTTGTTCTTGTAAATATTGATGATGGAGGCATCTTTAAGGGCTTGGCGGATTTTCCCCTTTCCCCATATATTCTCCGAGAGAGAGTGGAGACGGCTGGTAAACAGAGGTCCTACTGCTTTATATACCTCGGCTGAGATTCCATGAGGCCCTTAAGCTTTGTTATTTTTCATCTATTTGATGGCAGTAGCTAACTCGTCCAGGAATGACAGTGTCGAGAATATCCCATTCGGCACTGGGATTTGGGTTGTTTGTTGTCGGGTTGTTTATCAGCCCATATTCGAGATGCACTCTGAAAGCATGTGCTACCACTGGATCCTCTAGACGCTTTGTGTTACTATCTCTTCTGGAGGCTTGCTGCCTTCGCCGTTTTGGGTTAACACGAAGTGATAGCTTGGTTCTTACGAGTTGATGTTAAGTGTCGCAGTGGTCTGAGCCACGCATGGCTCGGGTGATGAGGACATCTTGGCGATTTCTTTCTCTAACAATGATGTAGTCAATGAGATGCCAGTGTTTGGATCGTGGGTTTTGTCACGAACCCTTGAACTTGTCGACCTGCCTAAACAAGGTATTGGTGATTGTGAGGTTGTGTGCAGCACACTTTCTTTTCTTCTTTTTTTTTTCTTTTTTCTACGGGAATTAGCCCACCCGGGCACAGGTCAAAAGACCCACAACGGGACCTGGGAGGCAAAAAAAAAAAGAACAGAAAGAAATTGAAAATGGAGAAGAAAAAGGTTATACTGTGTTAATCTACACCACGAAGATGCTGGAAAACCAGCTTTTTAAAGTGAGACAGATTGTATAAGGATGGAAACACAGAAGAAGGCAGAGCATTCCACAGTTTGGCTGTGTGAGGAAAGAAGGAGGTACTATAACGGGTTATTCTCGTGTGACCGACATTCACAGAGAAACGGTGGGCACCGCGGGCAAGACGTGTGTTACGAGCCCACGGCCTTGCCAGCAGTACACAGGATGCCAGATCCACCGAACATTGCCCGTTAAAGTACCTGTAAAGGAGAGAGAGTGAAGCAACATTCTGGCAAAGAGAAAGGGAAAAGATATTTTTTACTAAAGGAGGAGAGTTAATAAGACAAAATGCCTTTGATTCCACCCTATCTAACTGTTGGACAGAAGAGGAGCCACCCCAGATATGAGAGCAGTACTCCAAGTTAGGACAAATGAATCCCTTATATACTTGAAGCAACTGCTCAGGAGTGAAGTAGCTACGGCATCTGTACAGCATTCCCAACTTTCGGGAGGCAGCTTTAGCTATATTAAGGATGTGTGATTTCCAGGACATATTGGAGGAAATGGTGAGGCCTAACATATTTATTTCAGAATTTGGCAGGATGATAACGTCCTGAAATGTAATTGGTGGGAGATCGCTTAATTTACAAAGTGTAATTGGTAAATATTGAGTTTTATTACTATTGAACTTAACCAAGTTTGTACCTCCCCATTCAGAGATGCTGCACAGATCCGCATTGATAGAAGTAATGACATCAGCTCTAGAAACAGATCTAGTTTGAGAGTTAGGAGGAAGGGGAAAATGTGAAGAAGAATGAAAAGTAGAATCATCAGCGTAAGAATGGATAGAATTAGTTGTAGAGTGAAGTAAATCATCGATAAAAAGAAGGAAGAGAGTATACCCTGTCAAATGCTTTGGAGATGTTGAGGGCCATGTCGAAAGTTTCCCCATAATCCCTAACAGAGGATGACCAAAGATGGGTGCAATAGGAGAGCAGATCACCAGTAGATCTCGCCTGGCGAAAGCCATACTGGTGATCCGACAAAAGAGAAAGGCGTTGAAGGTGACAGAGAAAATGGGAGTTCAAGATAGTTTCGAAAGTCTTGAGGGATGAAGTTAGGGCAATGGGGCGATAGTTAGAGGGATTAGAATGGTCACCCTTCTTCGGGATGGGCTGAACCAAGGCATGCTTCCAAGAAGAAGGAAAAGTTTGAGTTTTGAGGCAGAGGAGGAGTAGGCCATTGGGATTACATTTGCCTAGTCCATTTCTCCCTATGGTTCCCTGCCAAATGTCAGCATCTCTGCCAACTCTGGCATTGAAGTCACCAATAAGTACAACCTTATCTTCTCTGGGGATAGAGGTTCGCACTCTGTCGAGGCCGGCATAAAAGGCCTACTTGATGTCATCAAAAGCATCCAGTGTTGGGGCATATGCACTAATGAAGAAGGCATCACATGAGTGATTCAGTGGGACCCCTAGCGTCACGAGTTGCTCGTTGATCCCAATAGGCATTTCAATTAACCTGTGTAGGATGTATTGGTGGATGGCAAAGCCAACTCCATAAATTCAATTTCTCTCCACAACAGGCTTAACCTTTCAAAAGAAGGTATAGCCAGACCCCCGTTCTGTGAGTTGACCCTCGTCTGGGAGCTGTAGCTCTCTAATGGCTGCTATGTCGATGTTATACCTAGCCAGCTCTTTTCCCACAAGAGCGGTTCTTCTTTCAGGATGCTCATTTGAGCCAGTATCCAGTAGGGTCCTGACATTCCATGCAGCGATCATAAGAGGTTGTATGGTTTGTTTTTTGTTTGGATCTGTGATTTTGATTGTGTTTTCGACCGAATAAGGATGACCTTACTGGGTGCGGCACAGATAAGATGGTAGTCTATGCACTGGGATCTAGGCAGCAGTGCAATCTGGTCCTGTGACTGAGCAGCCCTTTCAAAGTGCCACTCTGCTCACCCCACATGGGGAAGGGGATAGTAAAGGTACCCTAAACATACCCTGCCTAAAAAATGAACTTGCAGCCAATATTGCCAGAATGTCATACAACACAGTTTATTTTTTTGTATTAATCCTCCAGTCCTTTTTCCTGTCATAAATAATTTACTAATTTTTTTCTGTACATTCTAACGAGTCTGTTACGATACTTACGTATAAATATATAATGTACAGTCTCGTTCAAGATTCTTCG